CGCCGTTACACCAACAGACCACAACCTACAGAATGTTGGACCTCTCCCCCTAGTCACTGTGTTAGTTCTCCAATACCTTTATCATCTTCTATATTTGAGTATAACAATTGCTCCGCCGTTACACCAACAGACCACAACCTACAGAATGTTGGACCTCTCCCCCTAGTCACTGTGTTAGTTCTCCAATACCTTTATCATCTTCTATATTTGAGTATAACAATTGCTCCGCCGTTACACCAACAGACCACAACCTACAGAATGTTGGACCTCTCCCCCTAGTCACTGTGTTAGTTCTCCAATACCTTTATCATCTTCTATATTTGAGTATAACAATTGCTCCGCCGTTACACCAACAGACCACAACCTACAGAATGTTGGACCTCTCCCCCTAGTCACTGTGTTAGTTCTCCAATACCTTTATCATCTTCTATATTTGAGTATAACAATTGCTCCGCCGTTACACCAACAGACCACAACCTACAGATTGTTGGACCTCTCCCCCTAGTCACTGTGTTGGTTCTCCAATACCTCATCATCTGCCTAGTACAATATTAATGGAGGCAATCTTTGTAGCATGATCTGATCATACTTGCCTCTGTTCACCTGTTATGTGTGTATGTATTTACATAGTGGGATCTAGATATTATTCAAGTTAGTACCTGGGGACTGCCCCATGTAGGTCTCGAACCGGTGACCCAGTGGTGGAGGGCTAGTGGTAGCAGAATGTCAGATGCCTCAACCACCTGGGGACCGCGGCCCCTTAATTTTTTTTCAACCAACCCCTCCAGCTCCATGGACAATTAATACAACTGTTTCGAGCAAGTATGATTTCGAGGCAAACAAGCCCCTCAATTATGAGGATGCTCCAGACCTACTTTAGTAAACTCTGTAAACATTTTTTTTAAAGATTTAGCTGTTTCCCCTTTCAGAACCCACTGGAGAGGGGCACGTGTCCACCCTTTATTTATACAACATTGATTCCACTTGGCCTAAGGATGGTCTTGATCAAATTTGCTTAAAACGCTTTCCTGTACAAAAGGATTTTGAAATGCAAATCTTACCAGTACACTGAGCAGTATCACATGAGATACAGACACAAAAGTCCTTGGCAGACTGGTAGCTGTAGCCATTCACAAGTTACATAGGAATCTGAAATGTTAAAATACAAACGTATGTGTGATACATCAATCATGCTGCTGCTAGTTGTTTAACTACAGGTACAATACATGTACATAGCTGTGACCCGACTCGTCTTTGTGGAAAGTAGATTTTCTCATTATTTGCCTATTTAAACTACTGGGCATTTACATAATATCAGAATATTCTAGCTTTTACTTTAGAATAACATTGCTGATAAAGAAAGCAAACCTTCCTAGACTTGAGTACCATTTTAATTTAAACCTGTAAACCTTCCCAGACTAGAGTACCATTTTAATTTAAACCAGTAAACCTTCCCAGACTAGAGTACCATTTTAATTTAAATCAGTAAACCTTCCTAGACTAGAGTACCATTTTGATTTAAACCTGTAAACCTTCCTAGACTACAGTACCATTTTAATTTAAACTACAACTAACTGTTGTTTGAAGTTATGATAATTATCTCTAAACAAAATCAAAATTATGGACTTNTGGGGGGGGGGGGGGGGGGTCCTTGAAATTCCAGTAATTATGTTATACACTTCAGTTCTCTGTACCCTCAGAACATGTCATGACAAAATTAAAGGCTCACGATTGGCTATTTGATTAGTTTCAGGTGAAAAAACAAGAAAAAAAAACACTCGCCTGGATCGTTATGCCCAGCAATGGTATATATATGGCTATGGGTTTGGATCTCAAAACAATATGTTCAAATTACCACCCCCTTTTTGGCCCGCCCCTCAAAAAAGTTTTTTTCATAAATATTGAAATACATTTGAAGATATAAGACAAGGTGCTCCAATATGGCTTTTCCTTTATAAACAATTAATGTATGAAGTATGTACATCAGGGATGTTTTGGACGAGGTGCCCCAATATGGCTATAGATTATTACACAAGTAGCATATAAACTATATATGTACAGGGATTGTCTCTAATCATATAAAGACCTTACAAAACAGAGAATATAATTTTCAAAGTGTTTTTAAAATATGTTATTGCAACGGGAAAGGAAAAATGCAATGGCCAGACAGAGATTTAAACTCAGGACCTCCAAACTTCAGATTGATGCTCTAGCTAGCTACCCAATAGCGCTGGCGATCAATCCAGTCTATTTCTGTTACATTGTAAGCTAGCTAGGATTATGCTCACTTACGGTTTCTGCATCCCTGGAATATGTGATCCACTCATGACAATATTGAAGCTCTGTATGTGCCATTTATATGTAGAATTACATGGCAGCGGGGTGGTAATATTGACTGGCTTCGTTTAAATGACTGGTGTCATTCTAAGATTGGTCAAGTTATTTTTTTTTAACTGAAACCAATCAAATAGCTATAACTGCATGCCTTATTTTGATTCTGTCATGACATGGGGTGCAGAGAATGTACCGAGTAACCCCTGAAATTTCAAGAATGAGCTTCTGGCAATGGTCACCTGTTATGGATGGTCAAGTTAGTTAAGACACAAAGTTTACTGCACTCTGACTCAAAAATATCCTCTCAACAAGCCAATATACATTAAGTCATTTTTTCCCATATCTGAAAGTTTCCCCTGGGAAAATATCAACTAGCCGATTCTTTCCCCAGGGAAGAAATAGCTAGGCTAGCTGTTCCCCCCCCCCCCCCCCCCCCCCCCGGGGAATCACTCAGCTTGTTGATTCTTCCCACACACACACACACACCTAGTTCATTTTTTCCGCAGGGGAAGAAACTAGCTAGCTAATTATCCCCCCACCCTTGTGGTATTGGTTTATGGGGGATATTTCCTCCATCTGTATTAGTTTATAATAATAATAATAATAATATACATCATTTGTATAGCGCCCTATATAATTTGTAAAATTACTCTAAAGCGCTTTACAACATATGGATAATAGTTAATGTTATAATTGTGAAAACAAAAAAACAAAGGCTTACAATCACTTTCATACATTTAAGCAAGCAATGTGCACATAACTGAACAAATAAAAGGGTGGTATTTACATGACGTCTTTGCAAAGATTCTAAAATGCAGACGTGAAGAGGTGAATTTTGATGTCCCTCTTGAACTTGGCCAGGGTATTTGACTTTCTAATAGCAGATGGTAAGCTATTTCACAACGTAGCCGAAACCCTCCCAAAGCATCTGTTTCCGTAGGTCACAGTACGAGATTTTGGGACACACAACAAAGATTCTGACTCCGACCGCAGTGATCGTGACGGCTGATACAGGGTAACAAGCTCAGGTACTGAGGAGCTGTTCCATTCAGTGCTTTGTATGTGTACACCAGAATTTTGTACTGCGACCTGTATCGTACAGGTAACCAGTGCAACGAATAAAGCACAGGTGTGATGTGCCCTCTCTTTCGAGTACGAGTAACTAGCCGTGCTGCAGTGTTCTGGACCCTCTGCAGACAACTAGTTAGTTTGTCAGATATACCACAGAGCAGGGCGTTACCATAATCCAACCGAGAGGTAACAAGTGAATGCACCAAAATCTTGCATGCATCTGCAGTTAAAAACTGCCGAATACAGCCATGTTCCTGATCTGGTAGTAACAGGATTTGGCAATAGCGTTCACTTGTTTCTCCATGTTCAGTGAACTATCAAAGTATACCCCTAGGTTTTCAACAGCTGGAACAGTCTCAATAGTTCTGGCACCGACCTTGAGCTGGAGAGCCATTGTCCGTCGACACTTTGGGGAAAAGACGATTAGTTCCGTCTTTTCCTGATTAAGCTTAAGCATGTTGGCATTCATCCAGATACGGATATCTGTCAGACAAGCTTCCAGACTTTCTGAGACTGTATTTCAACTGTCCTGTGGGGAGATTATTATTGAACTGTTGTCTAGCTGATTATTTCCCCCTACACTATTAGTTTATAGGAGGGAAACTAACATAGGCTAGCTAGCTGATTCTTTCCCCCTCTCAGCAATGCTTTATAGGGGTAGATTGATTAATTAGCCAATTCTTTCCCCCTATCAGCAATGCTTCATAGGGGTAGATTGATTAATTAGCCAATTCTTTCCCCTTCTCAGCAATGCTTTATAGGGGTAGATTGATTAATTAGCCAATTCTTTCTCCCCTCTCAGCAATGCTTTATAGGGTAGATTGATTAATAAGCCAATTCTTTCCCCCCCCTCTCAGCAATGCTTTATAGGGGTAGATTGATTAATTAGCCAATTCTTTCCCCCTTCTCACCAATGCTTTATAGGGTAGATTGATTAATTAGCCATTTTGTTTCCCCTCTCAGCAATGCTTTACAGGGTAGATTGATTAATTAGCCAATTCTTTCCCCCTCTCAGCAATATGCTTTATAGGGGTAGATTGATTAATTAGCCAATTCTTTCCCCCCTCTCAGCAGGCTTTATAGGGTAGATTGATTAATTAGCTAATTCTTTCCACCCTC